ATTGTCCGCAAATGTTCCAGAATGTCTATCTGAAAAGGGCTTCAGTGTCGTAAACCACCGCCTCTGTTCAAAGATGGTTGCTCACAGTGGACATAAATGGCTTCCTTTACTCCTCTTTCTGGGCCATCTGACCTCAGGAATCTGGGACTCTCCACCATTTGACCTTAGAACTGAAGAAGCCTCTCGGATGAGAGGTGAAACGTCTTCAAGCAACTCAAAGAAGTCCAGACGCTTTTCTTTCAAAGCTCATTAGACTACAATGACCTGGATGACTGAGAACCTTCACAGACATATGATGGTAGTCATCTTCCCCAGCATCCTCCTTTCACATGTCTCCTTAGCTGAATCCATTGGGCAGCTCAGAACCGAGCTAGTTTTGTTAAGCTTGTTCAGTCTCTTCCTGTCGCGGTCAGAGCTGCCTGCACCCCAACAGACCACGGCAAAGTGGATAACAGAGCCAACAACAGAGTGATAAAAGGATTTTAGCAGATGGGAATTAACTCTGAAGGACCTCAGCCTCCTCAGGAGGTTGAGGCGGCTTTGGCTCTTCTTATACAGGATCTGTGTTGTTGGACCAGTTCAGTTTACTGTTGAGGTGATCACCCAGGTACTTAAAGGTATCCAGCACCTCAATGTCTCCTTGGATGTTTACTTGTGAATAGGGCTGCAACAACGATAAATTCGATGAAAATCGATTACTAAAAGCGTTGGCAACGAATTAAGTCATCGATTCGTTGTGTCGCACAACTCTTCCAGACCAGCGCAAGTCAGATCAGCGCGAGGGAGAGCCGGCAGATCAGCGCGAGGGAGAGCCGGTACCGGCAGATCAGCGCTAGGGAGAGCCGGTACCGGCAGATCAGCGCGAGGGAGAGCCGGCAGATCAGCGCGAGGGAGAGCCGGTACCGGCAGATCAGCGCTAGGGAGAGCCGGTACCGGCAGATCAGCGCGAGGGAGAGCCGGCAGATCAGCGCGAGGGAGAGCCGGTACCGGCAGATCAGCGCTAGGGAGAGCCGATACCGGCAGATCAGCGCTAGGGAGAGCCGGTACCGGCAGATCAGCGCGAGGGAGAGCCGGCAGACTTGCGCTGCTGCGAACCGGTTCCGCCCAAGGCCGGATTAACTGGGCAATTGCCCAGGGCCCACGAACTCTAAAGGGCCCAGGGCACGAGCAAAATACTGTATCTATAATTTCCCGCTTTATGAGGACTATGGTGACCGTACGTTCCGTTTTCCCCGGACATGTCCACTTTTCATTCTCTGTCCGGGCGTCCGGACTGCGGGCTCTTGTATTGATGAAAATGTCCGGCTTTTCATCCAGGAGCAGGGATCGAATTATGGGGGAGCTGTATATCCTACACATCAGGGGAGCCGGAAAAAAGTTTTCTATAGTATATCATTTATATCATTTTTGGACTCTTTTGAGCAGAGAGCGGCACAGCGCGTTGTTGCGCAGCGATCCAGGCAGCTGCTTCCAGCGCACGGTCCATTCTCAAAGTGGCGCAACCAAAAAACTATAATTAGCACACGATCGTTCATGTCCGCACATGTTCTCCATTTTCTGTCTTATTTGTGCCTGAAGCGCGCTACTGCGGAGCTCATCACCTGTGCTGTGGTGATGTCACCTCACGCAGCATCGAAAATGCGCTCTGAGCTTTGCGGTCAGGAGATCCTTTGATCTGTTCAAAAGTAACTGATGAGGTGAAAAGGTAAGAATCCAGGCAACAGATTTTCTGGAGAATTAAGAGGAGATGCAGGAAGATGAGAGACAGAAAGGACAGGAAAATAGTTAAATAAAAACAAGAAAACAAAACAAAGTGTTGAAAAGTAAAATGTAGGTAGATTTATCTCCACTACACGTTTTTACCTGTAAAAAACATATTTATACATCTGATACAATTCAGATCACCTTCAAAACTCAGTCACACACCCAGGGCCGTTTCAAGACAATTTGGGGGCCAAGGCAAAATGCCCCCCCCCCCCCCCCCCCATAACTGGGCTCCCCAGAAGCCTCTGTGTAGTTCATACCCTCTCCAGTAGTGTTAGTTATATGGTGTTTATAAAAGCCCCTCAGACATTACTGACATGTTCTAATATTATCAGATGAAAAACTAAATTATCAGACATGCTGTCTCATCTGCTTCTTTTCTAAACTTGCAAAAAGTAACAAAACCGTGTGAAAGCCACTATTAGTGGATTCTCTGAAAGTTTCCATGGAGTGTGTGACAACTTATTTTTTCATTGACCCTATCGTCTAATCTCACAGCTAAAACAAGCATCCTTAATCATCTGTGCACAGGAAGCTTACCGATGCTGTAGTAAAACAAAAGGTATAATAATTTATTATTAATAAAACCTTGTTGCAGCACTAAAGCAGAAAAATGAGATTTTGCATTAAATATGCAAAATATTTACATATGAATTGTTTTAGAGCCCTTTTATTGGCAGAATCTGATATTAATTTAGTTCTTACAAAAAATGGGTCCCAACATGGTTTGTGTGGCGTTGCCATAGTGTGACGTCATAGGCACAGATCCCCTGTCCTCTTGTTTGGAAATGGAAATATGGTCACCCTACATTAAACAAACTGTCCACCCGGGCTTTTGTGCTGCACAGAGACGCTTCGCTGCCTACGACTGAACGTCAGTTGAGAGTCAGTCTCATGCAGACTGACCAATGAAGAGAGGGCCTCAAGTTAAGACCCTCTCCTCATTGGTCAGTCCACACGAGGTGGGTCAAAGGTTACTCTGAGCGGGTTACGTGTTGTCAGGCATTCAAGTATTGAGTATATTTACTGCATATTACAGTAAAATATTCTGTATGTGACCACATTATGGTGATCCTCGGGTCGTGATGATGGAGCCCTTGAATATTGTTGCCCAGGGTACAACAAAGTGTTAATCTGGCCCTGGTTCCGCCGTCACATTCCCGCAGAAACTGGTTGATCACACCGGGGCCAGACTACTAGCATGTGGCTTTACAACCACAATGTCCTCGGAAGCAAAAACGCTTTTATAAGGGAGGGAGGAGTCCTAACTGTTGCTGCAGGCGTGTTGTGTGAGAGTGCAGTTATATACTGGTTAATATATTTTTGGGTTCAGTTGCTTTCATGTGGCCTAATGTGAGTCTATTTGGGATCATTGGAATGATCAGCAGCATTTCTTGATGTGACTTTATGGCAGTTGCCCAGGGCATCATCACAAGGAGAATGGCATTCATTTACTTTTGTTTTATTTGGTATTTTTTCAGTCATTTTTGGAAATAGTGATCAATTTTGATTAATTCACAGCCTATGTTTAATTACATTTAAAAATTAGTTGTTTGACATCCCCAGTTATAATAAATGTCAACAGATGAGATCAAACAAAACAGATGACAATTGCCCTTAAGCTGTTTAACTTGGACCAAGCATTTTAGGTCACAGATAGATGTAGCTTATAGGGTCTCTGTCTATACACCTTATAAGACAATTTAGGTGATGGCATGTTGTTTTTCTGCTATTGAACTGTTTTCTAATAATGTTGTGTTAAATAAAGTGAAGGAAGGAGAGAAATAACGTTTCCCTAGCAGTTTTTAAAAATGTCCCCATGTAATCCGATTAATCGATTAATCATGTCGAGACCCCATCCGATTAATCGATTATCCAAATAATCGTTTGTTGCAGCCCTACTTGTGAGTGAGGAGTGATTCTCTGGAGGTCAATCACCATTTCCTTTGTCCTACTGGTGTTCATGCGAAGGTGGTTACGCTCACCCCAGTCCACAAAGTTCATGATGACTGACCTGCACTCCTGGTCATTCCCCTCAGACACACAGCCGACAATGGCCGAGTCATCAGAGAACTTCTGGAGGTGACAGCTGCTGGTGTTGTAGGTGAAGACCGACTTGTAGGAGGGGAATAGAAAGGGAGAGAGCACTGAACCCTGAGGAGCTCCAATACTGCACACAACCACCTCAGATGTACAGTTGTGCAGCATCACATACCATGGGCTGTTGGTGCGGTAGTTGATGATTCATGCAGTCAGATGTTTGTACACTCCTGCACCCCTCATCTTCTGCTGCAGTAGACAGATGGATGGTGTTGAATGAATTGAGAAGTCAAAGAACACGATTCTCACACTGGTTGTTTTACATCTCGAGGCGAGTCAGAGCCTGGTGCTGCAGGTAGATGAATGCGTCCTCCACCCCCATGTTTGGTTTATATGCAAATTGCAGTGGGTCTATATCCAGGCTCACCACCGAGCGTAGATGGGTGAGGATGAGCCTCTTCATCATTGACACGTCCCCCCCCCCCCCCATTTTTCCAAAGTAAATTTCTGTCCCCTGCACTTTTGCATTCCGCTATATTAAACAGACACTAGTTAGCATTAGGACCAAGAGGAAAACAACCGCTTGTGTTGAAGCGTCCAGAAGCTCATCTATTGGCTCTGCTGACACTAAGTAACGTGTGATTGGCTGTTCCTGCCACCTGTGTACTTGACAGTTCTGCAGTCCCAACATTGCATACAGCCTCTAGGCTGTAGTTTTACACTTACTGTAAAAATCCTGACATCCCCCCCCCCCCCCCCCCCCGGTTGTGTCCCCCCCCACTTCTAATGGGCGACGGTGGCACTGGAGTTAAGTGCTCGCCCCATAAGCGGAAGGTTGCAGGTTCGAGCCCCACTGTCTGTCGCTGTGTCCTTGGGCAAGACACTTAACCCAACTTGCCTGCTGGTGGTGGTCGGAGGGACCAGTGGCGCCTGTGCTCAGCAGCCTCGATTCTGTCAGTGCGCCCCAGGGCAGCTGTGGCTACATCGTAGCTCATCACCATCAGTGTGTGAATGTGTGTGTGAATGGGTGAATGACTGATTGTGTTGTAAAGCACCTTGGGGGGTTCCAGGACTCTAGAAAGTGCTATATCAAATACAGGTCATTTACCATTTACCATTAGTCCTCATCAGATGTGGGGCCAAGGCGACTGGTCTGGTTGTCGGGGATTAAAGCATCATTATGAATCTGAAGCGGGTCAAAGTCTGAGTCAAACTATTTATTTTGGTTTTTGCACCAAAAAACACCCTTAAAATTAAACAAATAAAACATTTTTATTTATGAGAAAGCAGCTGTCTAACTCATGCATTCCTGTTATAGTGCACATAAACAAATGAGACCTTCATGAATTTATAAATGTTATTGTGCTCACATCTGCTCAAGCACTCTAAGCAGCAGGAGCCCTGCACGCTTCTGTGTTTTAAATGACAAAAGCATTCAGAACCTTACGTGATGTCCCTGAAACTTCTCTGTACATTTCTTAAATAGTCACTCATAAATACCTCAAACTTTGTAGTTGCAGGTCTAGACAGCAGCTAAAATTAATGAAACTGAACAGGATGATGCGGTCAGGTGTTCGGAGAGCTTTTGTTCTTCCTGTGGTGCCTCTCGGTAAAAGTCCTCCACATGCTGGTGACAGCGACTCGGGCCATGAGCACCGTGATGCTGAAGTTACGTCGGTACCACTCCCTGGATTGGGGAGGAGACAGCAAATAATAAATACGATGAAGCTTGATGATGCTGTGGAGGTTTTTCCTGGGCTTTAACTAATAAAGCCTGAACACAAACAACACTGACAATAAACGTCCAAAGTGTCCGGCTCACGCAGCAGCTCGTTATGAGAAAAGCTCCACAGAGGTGTGCGTGGGGGGGGGGGGGGGGGGGGGACGACACCCGACGCAAAAACAACTCACCTGTTATAATTTGCATGTCGGAGCTTGTTTTGGTCCAAAAAGCTTTTGTAAAACAGAGCCATCTCTTCGCTGTTCAGGGACCGCCGTCTTCCTGAGCGGAGCAAACCGACACAAAGTGGATTTCATTCAGCATTTTCACAGTCCTGACTCCATTTTCAGTTTCATTTCGTTGTTGTGTAAAAAACACCAGAACATATGTATGAGAAGCCTCACCGTCTTCGTCACGCAGAGTCAAACCTTTGGCCTTCAGATGCGAAATGATGAAAGCTTCTTTTTCCTGCAGAGACTATATCAATCAGTTGTGTTTTTGGAAAAGTCTGTCTATTCAAATGAATCCAAAGGCAAGTTTATAACGCGGTCGCACTGATATTACATCTTTGCCTAATCAAATTCAAGCACGTTCGGGCTTAGATTTAGGATTGTGCAGCCAGATTTGATTTACATACACGCTCAAAACAGTTCTTTGTCTCATCAAGGAAATAAGACTGTTCGACGTCTGCTATAATTTCAAGCACCTGTAAAAATCCTGCAAGCTGGAAGCACAAGTCATGTTACACTTCCCTAATATGAACACGTGACCTCGTACGGCAGGTGACCGTAGCCTCCTAAGGACACTGTACCATACCTGATACCATCGACTCATTTCACTCCAAAGAAAACTTTCCAAAGGATTTTCTCCATTGAGCTTTGCTGCCACCTGCTGGTGACAACAAAGAATTGTAAGCAGCATTTTAACCTTGCTAAAGCTGATGTTCTGCTTGGTCCAAAACTCATGGTTCCAGTCTTCCGTCTCCTGCCTCAGCATCCTCAGCCGCTTCTCCAGATCGGATTCCTTCTCGGGGATGTGGTACACGATGGGACGCAGATTGGACAGGGGGTTCGGTGGACCGATCCAGTCATGTGTGGAGCTGGGCTTGGGCCTGAAGGTGGACCGCTGCATTTCAAAAACAAAATACAAAACTGTGAAGGTAAATTAATGTCAGTCTGGGACCAACACGGTAATTAGACGTGTTCCAGCCAAGCTGCTGCAGCTAGCCACTAGGAGGCTATTTAGGGTGTCTGTTTCTGTCTCCTACCATGAAAAAGTAGGGTGGTGTGGAAACTGTCTACTAATCCTGAGACAAGTAAAGGCTTAAACACATTTATCTGTGCTTTAACTGTTGAAGAGCTGGTCCTGTCCACAGATGAACGTCACAGAGCTGAACTGAGTCAACGCCACACGACAGCGAGCTTATCAGAACCAAACAGGCATCACGATGAAAGCAGCAAGGAGAAAAACACGATCCCAGACCCAGAGACCAACGCAACGGTACGGAAAAAACAGATAATTGTCAGAAATATTCTAGACATTTTAAATACTGTGAATACTATGATGCTCTGGGACATTACTTAGGAAAAAATAGAATAGTAAAAAGGACACAAAAACAGAAATGTGCATCTGGGTATGGTACTGAATGTACTGATGTTAGCATACAGGTCGTTCTCAAAAAATTAGCATATTGTGATGAAGTTCATTATTGTCAGTAATGTACTGATAAACATTAGACTTCCATATATTTTAGATTCATCACACACAACGGAAGAAGTTCAAGCCTTTTATTGTTTCTAATATTGATGATTTTGGCGTACAGCTCATGAAAACCCAAAATTCATATCTCAAAAAATTTGCATATTTCATCCGACCAATAAAAGAAAAGTGTTTTTAATACAAAAAAGTCAACCTTGAAATAATTATGTTCAGTTATGCACTTAATACTTGGTCGGGAATCCCAATGCGGCGTGGCATGGAGGCAATCAGCCTGTGGCACTGCTGAGGTGTTATGGAGGCCCAGGATGCTTCGATAGCGGCCTTAAGCTCATCCAGAGTGTTGGGTCTTGCGTCTCTCAACTTTCTCTTCACAATATCCCACAGGTTCTCTACGGGGTTCAGGTCAGGAGAGTTGGCAGGCCAATTGAGCACAGTAACACCATGGTCAGTAAACCATTTACCAGTGGTTTTGGCACTGTGAGCAGGTGCCAGGTCATGCTGAAAAATGAAATCTTCATCTCCATAAAGCTTTTCAGCAGATGGAAGCATGAAGTGCTCCAAAATCTCCTGATAGCTATTTGCATTGACCCTGCCCTTGATAAAACACAGTGGACCAACACCAGCAGCTGACATGGCACCCCAGACCATCACTGACTGTGGGTACTTGACAGTGGACTTCAGACATTTTGGCATTTCCCTCTGCCCAGTCTTCCTCCAGACTCTGGCACCTTGAGTTCTGAATGACATGCAAAATTTGCTTTCATTCGACAAAAGTACTTTGGACCACTGAGCAACAGTCCAGTGCTGCTTCTCTGTAGCCCAGGTCAGGCGCTTCTGCCGCTGTTTCTGGTTCAGAAGTGGCTTGACCTGGGGAATGCGGCACCTGTAGCCCATTTCCTGCACACGCCTGTACACGGTGGCTCTGGATATTTCTACTCCAGACTCAGTCCACTGCTTCCGCAGGTCCCCCAAGGTCTGGAATCGGTCCTTCTCCACAATCATCCTCAGGGTCCGGTCACCTCTTCTCGTTGTGCAGCATTTTCTGTCACACTTTTTCCTTCCCACAGACTTCCCACTGAGGTGCCTTGATACAGCACTCTGGGAACAGCCTCTTCGTTCTGAAATTTCTTTCTGTGTCATACCCTCTTGCTTGAGGGTGTCAATGATGGCCTTCAGGTGGGCAGTCTTACCCATGATTGTGGTTTTGAGTAATGAACCAGGCTGGGAGTTTTTAAAAGCCTCAGGAATCTTTTGCAGGTGTTTAGAGTTAATTAGTTGATTCAGATGATTAGGTTAATAGCTCGTTTAGAGAACCTTTTCATGATATGCTAATTTTTTGAGATAGGAATTTTGGGTTTTCATGAGCTGTATGCCAAGATCATCAATATTATAGACAATAAAAGGCTTGAACTACTTCAGTTGTGTGTAATGAATCTAATATATATGAAAGTCTAATGTTTATCAGTACATTACTGACAATAATGAACTTTATCACAATATGCAAATTTTTTGACAAATGTTTGCATGTAAATAAATTCTCTCAAAATTTAGATACACGGCTTTTGAATATCGATACAACCATTGCAGGAAAAAATACCACGATATATTGCCATATCGATATTTTCTTACATCCCTAATCGAAATTCTGAATCATTAGATTTGACTGACAGGTAGCATGAGCGTCAGAGCCCGTCAGTCAAATCTAATGATTCAGAATTCCAATCCCTGGAACTAAAGATGGCTGATTGTCGGATCGGGGCCATATTCACTGAGATCAAAAGCTATTTCAGTTAAAACCATCCTAATAGGTGTGGTTACATTTTAACACAGGGCCTCTCGTTTGATAGTTGCATTACGATTCTTGCATCCATTGAGTTTTTGGAGAGTTTCTGCTTAAGTTTCTTTGCAGGAAGTCAGAATCACCTCCCAGACCTCCTACTTGGATGCGATCTGCCTCTGCAGTCCACAAAGGTTAGAGGATGTTGCAAAAGCTTCCTATAGGGTTGTGGTCATGGGTTAGAGTTAAGGTTATTCTCTCCTTTTTCTGCCCACACTTTGGTTTTTGTGAAATATCGAAGGTTTTCATACCTTACCCAAGGCATTCAACTGTTTCATGCTTTTCAGTAGCAGAGATAGTTTTTCTTGCCAAGCTGGTTGAAAATGGAAAATCCTTTTCAGTAGTTTCTCCTTAATTGGGCTCACCTGGTACATCTCATCAGGTGTCTGAGACCAGAGACACCATCTAGAGTTTAAGTAAAAGCAAAAAGTCTGTCTCCTAAATAAAATGTGCCTGTAGTGTGGAACACGTTGTGTTGAGGTTCTGGGGGAGTTCTGGTCCATTCCGCTGTTCCGGTTCATTGAGGTTTTCAGACATGTGTTCCTGCTGAGTTCTCTTAAAGGGACTTTACAGAGTTTTGAATTTTTATGCTCGTGATTGCCCCCTCAGGCCAAAAGCGTAACGGCAGCTTCAATAGTAGGCTTGTGCACGAGGCGCGCATGCTGTACGTGCACGCTCCTTAACGAAAATACCGTGTGTGTGTGTGTGCGTGCGTTTGTGTGGCCCGGAGGACAGAGTGCAGCTAATTAATTAAATATTTTGTTTCTGTACCTTTCTCTTCAGCACAGCTGACAAAGGTTTAAGATGGGTCAGTCCTCCTGCATGCTCAGATCATTCCCTTCCCTTGCTTGAAAAATTGTTCCAAAATGAAAGTTGAACCCACATCTTTTTTATCTGTGAATTCAATGCCGTTCGATGAGTCTCAAATAAAAATGTGGGCATCTTACTGTAAAAAAATATATCATTAATGTAAAAAATAAACTCTAAATGAACTATGTTCACACCCGGAATCAAACCCGGGTCTTCTGCACGAGAGTCAGACATCTTACTAGGTGAACTAAAGCGCCAGTGACTTCCTCAGTATCTGTAACATTTATATCCTTGATGACAGCTAAAACAACGTTCAAAGAACGGTTCGGAGTGAAAATGGCTATTTTGTTGCTAATTTGCAGAAAATATCTAGAAAAACGTTCTACAGAAAGTAGCTAAGGGTCCTCAGAAATGTAGCTAGGTTCATCACTAGGCGTTAGGAACAGCGACAAAGTGGCACTGCCTCTCTCTGCTGCTAAAGCTACGGATAGCAAATGCTACGGGCTATGCCTGAGCGTGAGCGCGCATGAAGCAGCCTGCTCGACCCGAGCTTCTCTCTTTTTCAGTGATTTTACAGAAAAACCGGCAATCACAGTAAAAATGCCAGGGCTCATCTACAGGACCAGGGCATTGCAGGAGAATGTATGAAGAAGACATTTATTATTTCTATACATGTTTTGGCTGTCAGACTTCCATAATGCCCCTTTAAGGTCCCATCTGAGAATTTTAATCAGGTTCGGGTCTGGACATTAGTTCATCACTACAGTTTAGTAGATCTGCTGCTGTCTTTGGATCGTGGTTCTGTTTAGCTTGGTCCAAACCTCACCTGTCAGACCGATGGACTCATGTCTTGAGTCTGGAAGACTTAGGTGACTTTGGAGACTTCATGATGGAGCCAGAACCATCAGCCTCCACATCCATACTGAGAGCTAGTATGAGCTGTGTGGCTTTCTCTCGTCATACTGAGGTGAATTATGGGTAAGCGTCTACACCGATTTTATGTGTCCACACATCAGTGATCCAGAGGTCTTCTGGTTCATTCGGATAAAACTCCTCAAACCTAAGTCAAGCTGTCATGTAGGACAGAAAAGACCATGTCCCACAACCAGTCCAAACAGGAAATGTTTGTGAAGTCATTTCTGGTTTTCTGTCAGGTACTTTAACCTTTAAACTGCTAACTGATGCCCCTGGACTCTGAGATGGAGCTCTTGGAAGTTTATCTGAGCCTTCCCTGATGACCTTCTGATGAACTTCCCAGGATGTCAACTCCTGTCAATAAGTTGGAATAATCTATCTTTCTGGAGAATGGCCGACTCAAAATCGCCTGGAAATGACCTTTAACCCCTCCCAGTGTTTCCCAAGTGCTGCAGATGCATGTTAATCACTCGTCAGTCAGGTGTGTGTGTGGCAGCAGGGAAACAGGTGTTTGACTGGGCCTGAGGGCCACGGGTCTCATATATCAAACATTGCGTAGAATCCTTACTAAAATCGTACTTAAGCTCAGCAAAAAAAGTACTTATACCAAGCAGGTTTGTGATCTATCAAACATGGAGTACACACAGCTGCACGCAATCTCCGCTTCATAAATCGGAGACTAACGAGAATGTTTCTCAGCTGCTCTTTAGTCACATCCCGCTCTCACCACGCCCACTTACTGCCATAAATAGTCAATGCAAAGTGCCTTGTGGATCTCATGCATATACATAAGCCGGCTTGTTGCAGCGCTCTGCAAATGACATGGTGACCGTAGATCAAGGCAGATCAAGGAGGCGCTATTTCACAGAAGCAGAAGTTGAGGTACCTGTGGGTGAGGTGGAGAAATGAAAGGAAGTGCTTTTGCAAAACAATTAAAAGAAAATCCACAGAGTGGCACAGCGTTGCTGAAGCCGTCAATGTTGTGTTCTTCAGAGAGATCTGTGGCGGATATAAAAAATGGTCCAATCGGGATTCGATCCCCAGAATCCCGGGTGAAAGTCATGCGCGCTAATCAGTCAGCCAAAAAGAGATCTCCCCTATCCAAGTAGCCAGGGTGCATGATCAATCAGGTCACAGTGACAGGACACATGGTAAATGGTAAATGGTAAATGGCCTGTATTTGATATAGCGCCTTCTAGAGTCCTGAAACCCCCCAAGGCGCTTTACAACACAATCAGTCATTCACCCATTCACACACACATTCACACACTGGTGGGGATGAGCTACAATGTAGCCACAGCTGCCCTGGGGCGCACTGACAGAGGCGAGGCTGCCGAGCACTGGCGCCACCGGTCCCTCCGACCACCACCAGCAGGCAACGTGGGTTAAGTGTCTTGCCCAAGGACACAACGACAGCGACAGACTGAGCGGGACTCGAACCAGCAACCTTCCGATTACGGGGCGAGCACTTAACTCCTGTGCCACCGTCGCCCCCGTGACACACACACTGTCACAGACGCATGATGTTCTGTCTCAATCTGTCCCCCTGCTGATATTCTGCATTCCGTATTCTGCGCTTCAGGCTGTGTGTGTGTGGGTGTGTGGGTGGGTGGGGGGGGGGGTCTTGTTCTGTGTGAAAATGAAGCAGTACAAGTGATAATGCTGCTGAAATTCATAATTGTATCCTTCTCAGCAGCAGCACTGCAGGTGCTCTCCATGTCCAAAATGTGCGTAAGCCAAGTCCTTGCTCAGTTGCGCACATTTTTCCGCTAAGTTTTCTTTCATAAATCCCAGAGTTTGCATGGAAAGTTGCTTACGCAGTTTTCCGACCCCGTTTAGTGCATAAGTAAGCTTCATAAATGAGGCCCCCGGGCAGGGGAACACTGCGCTGATGTGTTTCCTTCTATGTTCTAAACCAGAAAGTAAAAACTACTGTTTAAATATAAGTGGTCATAAACATCTGGCTGATGATTGTATGGGAACAGACGGAGGTCTGTTTCCATGGAAACGGATCGTGTCAGATTGGTGTTATTTTGAGTATAAAATTATGTGTTCAGATACGGTTTGATAATCTGATTTTCCAACTGAAATCTCATAACTATGAGAGCGTTATTAAGGTTATGAACAACAGACGTATGTAAAACAGACCTGCGTTGGTTTGTCTCGTGACGGTGTTGGATCAGAGCTGCAGAACCGACGGCTGACTGGTAAAGGTCGGTATGAACGCAGACCAACATGTACCGACCGTCCCGCAGCTGCTCCAATTGACATTTTATCCACCAAAACCTTCACAATCCCAACAGAACCGACCAAACCGAGGCTCTCGAGAACCCAAACACGACGATCACGATGCCGTTTCAATCTCCGTCACGGAAAGGAGGAAAGGTGCGCTGGAATACTTCAGCGGCATACCCGATTATTGTGTAGGCGGCACAGACTGCTATCACCGCCCTTCCTGCTCCGTGCGTACCGCGTGACTAAACGAAGTGCTCTAAATGTTGGCCAACAATAACGTATACGCTGTTAAAAATACTAACCTCGTTCATAAAAAAACACACGCATTGTTTTAATTAATTGACATTCAGTTGAATTTAATTTTATTCCAAAAAGTTTTTTTTAGTGTATCATTCTGTAACACGACAAAACGGAGGTAAATGCAGCTAACGAAGGCGTGTTGAGAGAACACGAACTCCGTGTTAGTTATTATGCGGGAGCAGGGTCGTGGAAGGTAGTTAGGTGCGTTAATGTTGAGCTTTAATCCGAGGAAGTTCGTCCTTTTCAGCAACACTTCACATGGCTGTACGGTGGCTGTGCAGGTAAGTGTCAACGGTTAGGGGGAGATCTCATTGTAAGACCAAAATCAGGAGTGTTTTAGGCCAAGGTGGGGCAGAGTCAGGTGATCATCCTGACTGACACCCAAGCATCAGGAGGGGGGGCGGTGGCTGGCCTTGTTTGTTGCTGTCCTGGATCCAAAAGCTCCAGTCAAAGCCCGCGTAAGCCTGGCTTCTGCCTTTATTAGACCCAAGAGGCCGACAGCGACCTGAAGGCAGAGCGTGGTTGTGGTGGTGGGAGGGGCGACAGTAGCCCCCCATCTCAGCGCGGAGGATCGTCACCAGCACCTCCACCCAAAAACACACCGTGATTTCAGCTCCTTTCGTTGCTCTGGCTGATGGAAAAAGACCTCTGGCGAAATGTGCGCCAACGTGTTCGGAGTGTTAAAAAGGTGAGAGGCTGGCGCTGCTGAGAGTGGATGCTGACAGATGTGGAGGTGTGGTGTGTGCGTCCCGATCAGCCGGTTTTCGATGGTCAGAGCCGTGCAGCGTGCCCGGTGCGGTGGCAGCCTGGTGCTGATGGTGGTAGGTTTGCTGTGGGACCTACAGGAGGGAGGACTGAGCTCTGCCGCTGGGCAGATTCTTGGCTAGTCAGCATCATTGGCTAAAACGATGAAGGATGTTGCTGAGATGATTTTGATAAGGACTGGAGCTCCAGCCTGACCTGCCCATCCCCTGTCCTCTTACATAAAAGTGCTCTTGGGAATGAATCCATCATTTGTCCTGATGAGCACTGCTGATGCTGTACAGCTACAGCCTGTGGCCTCAGATCCATGATCTGAATCCGTGTTGCACCTGAGGCTGCATGTTTTTAACATTTGTAATTCCTGAAACCCAGAACCTGACAGAAATGGACGTACTGGGTTAGCATGACATGTCTCATTTAGAATGAGTAAAATGAACGCAAACATGATCAAAAAGCAACATGAAGAAAAAGTGGACAAACGGGTGCTGCTATAAAAGCATAGAAGTGCCGCTATGGGAGCCCAGGTGTCCAAACATGGGCTGGTGCACATAAAATCTGTCTTTTAGCTACGTTGATGCCTGTGAAAAAAATATCAGCAATGCCACCCTTGTGGGGGTCATGGGTTAGGGTTAAAGCTCACTGCCAGTGTGTTTTGCCCCCGTTCTGCCTCCTACTAACTTTAACCATCAAAGATGCTTAAATCTAGCCTTCAGAGGACATCAGTGAGATTAGGTAAGATACATTAAGAGTGGTTGTGCAGGGTCAGTTAAACATGGTTTGATTTAATCTTTCCTCAGTCGAGCACATCGATTTTAAAATTAAAAGGAGTTTTAAAGAGACCACAGTCATCATTTGTGTTTTGAATTGAGATGTTTAACATGAAAATGTCCAGCAGCTCCTGTCCTACCATCAGGCTGCAGCTGCTGAGCCTGGCAGACAGAGGTGAGGGTGAAAACAACAAAGCCCAGCTCTCAGGCGTTTCATATGAAATAACATTAAATTAAACAAATAGTCTGACTTGTTTCTGTGTAGAAGTTCCAGTGATGTCAAATCTGACATCCTACGTGACTGATGAGCTAACGGCTAGTCCAAGCACAGCTGAGAATGTCCTGCGTGCACCAGAAGAGTTACAGTTACATTTAACACAGTCAGATTTTAGATGACGAGACGTGAATCTTTTCCTCAGCTCTTCACAGACCCGTTTCAGCCAGTGGGTCACATCATCAGCACCAGGATGTAGGTCAGATGTAGGTCAGCGTCCTGTCAGGTTTGCTGGTCTCGTTTTAGGAACAGAGCTCACAAATCTGCTTTTAGTAACCGTCAGAGAGAGTTTGTGGTTCTATTTACCAGGAAACTTTCACCACTAAGTCGGACCTGTTCCCAGTGAGGGTTGGACTCCGCCAGGGCTGCCCTTTGTCACCGGTTCTGTTCATGACCTTTATGGACAGAATTTCTAGGCGCAGCCGTGGTGTGGAGTGTGTCGAGTTTGGTGGCAGGAGAATCTCGTCTCTGCTTTTTGCGGATGATGTGGTCCTCCTAGCTTCATCCAGCTCTGACCTTCAGCTCTTGCTGGGTAGGTTCGCGGCCGAGTGTGAAGCGGCTGGGATGAGGATCAGCACCTCCAAATCTGAGACCATGGTTCTCGACCGGAAAAGGGTGGCTTGCCTCCTCCGGGTCGGGGGAGAGGTCCTACCTCAAGTGGAGGAGTTTAAGTATCTCGGGGTCTTGTTCACGAGTGAGGGTAGGAGGGATCGGGAGATCGACAGGCGGATTGGTTCGGCGTCTGCAGTGATGCGGACGCTGAGCCGATCTGTCGTGGTGAAGAGGGAGCTGAGCCAGAAAGCCAGGCTCTCGATTTACCGGTCGATCTACATCCCAACCCTCACCTATGGTCACGAGCTTTGGGTAATGACCGAAAGAACGAGATCGCGGATACAAGCGGCCGAAATGAGTTTCCTCCGTAGGGTGGCCGGGCTCAGCCTTAGAGATAGGGTGAGGAGCTCGGATATTCGGGAGGGACTCGGAGTAGAACCGCTGCTCCTCTGGATCGAAAGGAGCCAGTTGAGGTGGTTTGGGCATCTGGTCAGGATGCCTCCTGGACGCCTCCCTGGGGAGGTGTTTCGGGCATGACCTGCCGGCAGGAGGCCCCCGGGTCGACCCAGGACACGTTGGAGAGGTTACATCTCCAATCTGGTCCGGGAACGCCTTGGGGTCCTGCCGGAGGAGCTGGGGGAGGTGGCCGGGGAGAGGACGGTCTGGAGCTCCCTAGTTGGGATGCTGCCCCCGCGACCCGGACCCGGATAAGCGGAGGAAGACGACGACGACTTTCACCACTAAAACACAAAAATCTATCAGATTTGACTAACTGTTCTGGTTGTCTTTTGTTTTGCTCTTCTCCAGCCTCTTTGGGAAGCCTTTTGATGGAGGGAAGAGGATGGAGCATGGTGGCCCACAGGAGCCGCACCAACAACATCCAGTGGAGCAGCAGCAGCACCACCCTGCCATGATGCGGCTCTATGAGGTCCAGAAGGAGGTGTTGTCTCTGGGGCCGCACGTCTGCACCTTCAGTGGCCTGCAGGACGACCGGGAATACAAGCGGATGGAGCGCGAGCTAACCCGGCTGCTGCTGGAGGTGGACCAGGTGGACACAGAGGGCAAGGTGGAGCTGCAAGGGGCCCGTAAGAGGGCTGCTCAGGAGGTGGAAGGTCTCCTGCGCTACTTAGAGGAGAACGCCACCCACCCATCCCGTCTGGCCATGGAGGAGCTGAGCGTGGCGGCTCGGCAGCTGGTGGATGAACATGTTGTTGCTCCGCAGCGAGCCGGTGGGGTGACGGAGATCAATGACGAGCTGCTGGATACTCTGCAGGAGCTGGTTCTGAGGCTCACCCAGGTCAAGACCGAAGGCAGGGTGCCGCTCCGCAAAGCCCGGTACCGGGCCTTAACGCGCTTATGCGCCGTGCAGGATGTCCTGGAAGGACGCACGCCACACCAGACCCTCTCCTTACCACTGTCGGGGGACTCCAACGAGGCCGTGCACCGCATCAACCAGGTGATGGTGAAGGTGAGTATGGCTCGCAGCCAGCTGGTGGCTCTGCTGATGGGACTGAGTGGGAGGGACAGCTGCGCCCACCTGTCTCGCATCCTGACGGAGCTGCAGGTGGAGCTGGATGCTCTGGACGTCTCTGGGAACGCAGCCGTCCGAAACTACAGGAAACAGGTGGTGGAGGAAATCAACGGGCTGCTGAAGCATCTGGATCTTGAGGGAGAGGGGGACGACACCCGCAGGTTGGTGAAGTGGTTTCTGTCTCGTGTACAGAAGTAAATGCTTTATGCTAAGCTAACTGTGAGGTGTGTGTGTGTATGTGTGTGTGTGTGTGTGTGTGTGTGTGTGTGTGTGTGTGTGTGTGTGTGTGTGTGTGTGTGTGTGTGTGTGTGTGTGTGTGTCTGTAGGTACGATTTGGCCCAGAACAACTCCATCCGTGAGATCGAAGCTGTGCGTGCTCACGTCTCTCACCTACGAGAGGGCGTCCTGCGACACTGTGCCATGAGCGACCTCAGCTTCAGACCCAAAGCTGAACTTCTGAGCCTCCTGACACACCTGGACCAGGTGGACACGGCCAAGAATCCGTGTATCAGAGAGGCCCGCCGCCGTGCCGTGGTGGAGGTCCAGGCTGTTATCACCTTCCTGGACCTACGCGAGGCCTTAGCCCAACGCCACCCGGGCCCCGACGAACGCCCGTCACACCGGGCCGTGTGGCTGGTTTTGGGGAGCCTGTCTGACCTCCAGGCCCAGGTGCTGGGCTTCGATGGCAAACGGGCCGACAAGAGCTACATGATGCTGGAGGAGCTGCTGACCAAACAGCTGCTGATGCTGGACGCTGTAGACGCCCAAGGTGACGAGATGGCGAAGATGGCGCGGAAGCAGGCGGTAAAGTTTGCCCAGAACATTCTGAACTACCTGGACATGAAGACGGACGAGTGGGAGTACTGACCTGTAGGTTCAGGCGCCGGTTAGGAAACAAAAGGAGCCGGCAGCGTGTGTACAGAACTAAAACACTGTCATTCCATTGGAGTCCACTGCAGCGCTGTTCTTTGTCTGTTTGTGGTTGTCATGACCGCCCACGCTGAGAAACACATCGTCGTGTGTGTGTGTGTGTGTGTGTGTGTGTGTGTGTGTGTGTGTGTGTGTGTGTGTGTGTGTGTGTGTGTGTGTGTGTGTGTGTGTGTGTGTGTGTGTGTGTGTGTGTGTGTGTGTGTGTGTGTGTGTGTGTGTGTGTGTGTGTGTGTGTGTGTGAAGCCTGCTGCCAACGCTCAGTCATGCTTATTGTTGTTTCCTGGGTTGATGGTGAGCAGCGGCCTCGTGGGGCTGGTGGTGGGGGTGGTGGTGGTGGTGGTGGGGGGGGGGGGGGGGGTTTAGAGTGGAGCTAGCTGAATCTGGTTCCTCTTGACCGGGTAACCGAAAAGGTCAGACCTGAAGCCGTTTCAGTTGGTCGGACATCCTTTTTAAATAGAACTGAAGGCAGGTTTACGTCCGAGCCAAAGGCCCAACCCTGGGAGATTTTTACTGACAGATTGTTTCGGGGGGGGGCTTTATTTGATCACATCTGGTGATGTTTATGGGATGATGGAGGAACGTTAACGTGAGACGGTAGGAACAGGAAGCTGGGGCTGAAGCCTGCAGGGACCACGAAGTGAGATGTGAGTATTTGTGCCTTTGCTGATTCACCGTTCAGAAGCAGCCTTGTAGAGCAGCGAGGAGCTGGAGCTGGAGGGGGGGGGGCACCGCGGCCATTATCACAGATATTTGCACTAATCAGAAACACCTTTTGTGTTCTGCTGAAGTTCTGATGTGTGATCTGGTGTAAATCTGACTGCAGACGCTTTAATCTGACAACAGCTGACCTCGTTTCCTCTGGCACCGATGAGAGGACAGCTGGAGAAAACCAGCTGACAAGTCAGACTAGTACTATAAATCAAACGCTAGATGACGATATGTTTGTCCTGAATAGCAGGACAGATGGTTTTATCCCAGTCAGGAGGAATGTCCAGACGTGCATGGGTCGCCTTCGCCTGCAGCTGTTTTACACGAGGAGAAGCACGAACAGGAAACTCCTGGTTCCTGGCTGAAAACCATCTCGTTACGCCGCAGCCGCGCTTCATAAAGGCTCGACACATCTTTGAGATAGAAAACCTCAAAGTGAAACTTTCACGAGTTTCTGGTGTTTGCCGGTCGTCTGGGTTCAGAGAGGAGGTTCTAGTCAGGCTCAAACTGGTTTAACCCTGAAGGAGCCGTGGTCACACTGGTGTCACAACGACTTCTAACGTCAAACATTCAAGTATGAAAACCTCGATTGATGTTCTATCCATTATTTATTTACATGTTGACGTATTTATTCTGTTTTCTAATTGAAGGGGGGTTGGGTTCCAAGGGTTGAGGGGAAAAGGCACCATTTAAACCACTCAAACACAAAAACCCAAACGTGCACGCCGCTTTTGCTTTCGAGTGTTTCGGACGAGCAGCGTGTCGTGGTCCATTTCAAAGTCGCCGAAGAACTTCAGAAGCTTTACGGGTCACGATTCAACCAGAAGAACAAGGTAAAGATGGAAGGTGTGTGTCCGGTTCCCATCAAAGCAACACCAAAGCATCACCATAGCAACAGTCATGCCTTGGTGTTGGTTGTGTGATGGTCTGGGTCTGGACCACGGGCTGTAACTGGTGCAACCATAAATTCTGCTCTGGCTGAAGGAGAGCGGCTGATTCGAGCGTTCTGTCTGAATGCTTGGTGGCGTTTGGAGGGAAATGTGAACCTTTGATTGGCAGCAGGAATGTGAGACGTTTCCTCCAGTCGCCGTTGACCTCCTCACCTGTTCCAGGGACCTCCCACCACGCCTTCCACCTGCTGCTGGTCCTGGAGCCAGCCTGGTTTCCACAGCAGACCTCCGCTCTTAGACCAAACCGACCTCAGCTTCACTTCTGCGTGCGCCGTTACACACAGGTGTGTGTTTATTCGTGGCTCCTCACTCAGTTCCTGTGCATGCTTTTCCTCTTGAATCATTTAAGAGTTTTAAGCCATACATTTCCCTGAAGTGAAAGTGTGAGCCCCGAGTTTTCTGGCTGAACCTGCTCTCCACAGAGGTTCGTTATCACTAGCTGATTTGTAAATGATGAGTATTAAAACCCAGCACCGTGTCTGAACTCTGAGTTACAAATGTGTGAGGACACGAAGGATCGGTTAAACGTGTGCATGTTTAAACACGGCGTGTTTTAAAGGAGGAGGTCGCTTCCGTTTTTGCACTTTTCTGTCATTTTCCTTAAGTTTCAACGCAGATTTGTTCTTTTCACCAACGAGAATCTTTTTGAAGGATTTCAGAGGTTCAGCTCCTGAAAATGTGGCCGTTAGTTTATCCCGCCAGAGTCCGAAGCTTCACGCTCACCTAACTTCAGAGATTTGGGTAGAAGATGGGACGCTGGCAGACTGGAACAATTATGGGATGCACCTTTGAACAGGAAGGAGAATGTTATCAAAATAAAACAGCTGTTTGTTTACAGCTTAAAGGTCATTTATAGGCAAGAAGAAGAGTGTTCTGTAAAATTTACGACCAAGTCCTGCTTCTGCTTCTTCTCGAATGGCCTCTGTTTGGAGAAATGGAGTTTACATCATACAGGACTGAGGAGCTAATGGCTAGTCTGAGAGGCATTGTTACAGTGGCTCCTACCTCCACAGTTTCATAGCAGTTGACTCATAAGTACTTTAAATTTGCCTTACACGGATATTTTGGCAGTAGCCGAAGCAAAGACATTTAGCTCTGCATTTTGGTCTGGCCACGCTCCACAGGAGCCTCAGCAGGTCTACCATCAGTTTTGTGTTACGCCAATCGCAGCGCTCTATAGGCCCGGTGGGCGGGACGATGCGACAGAGCGAACAAAGATGGCGGTGGCTCGTTTGACACCTTTGGCATCAAATTCGGACTATTCAGACTTGGGCTTTTCTTCGAGTCAAGAGCAGATAGAGGTACTCAAGGCTTCTTTCCAGAGTATTTCTCTTATCCGATGGCACCATCTAGTGGCTGACCAGCATAATCACACAACAAGTCTGTTGCTCTGTTTGTTTAAGATGGCAATTTCATGTTTCTGTTTATAAATGTGCTTCTGTAGCCAACAAACAGCAAAAAGACGTTGATTTATGAGTATTATTCTCATGTCCTGTTGTGTTCTCATATTTATATTTTAGAGACTTTCTTGTCCGTGAAAAGTTCATCAACTCTGCATCAGCTGAGGTATTCCTTAAAGAGCAAGTCACCCCCTACCAGAATCTAACTCCACTCCCACTTCATGTTTGAAAAATGCAACACATGCCGTTGAATGGCAGACCGAGAGGGCGGAGCCGCTAACAAATACACACACACACAGAGTCACAACAGCATTGTGACATCATAATGTACCAGTTTACATCATAGCATACTTCTTAGCCAATAGCGATAGCAGATTTAAATTAAAATACAGTGCAGAGTTTTTACCTGACAACGGCACAACACTGCCAGTTTTAGGCAGAATATTTAAATTTTAACTAAGATGCACTGAAGTGCCAAATTATTGACTACACGTGTCTGCAGCACGATTACACACTCGTTTATTTAGTTTATCAGCAAAAAAATGTAGATTTGGGGGTGACTTGCTCTTTAAATATGAAGCAAGTAAGCGGTAGTCTAACGCTATTGGTTAGTTCTGGTCGGCGTTCAGTTTCCTGTTGCACGGAGCTCTGCGGGGCAGGGGGTGTGCTTAGCAACAACAACAAAAAAGACGTATTGCTTACATTATGTCACAGTACATGATAAGATAATCACTTTTACGGATTTCTGACAAATCATACATAATTTCTGAAAGAGGAAACTCTGGAAAGCTGCTTTAAATCCTTTATTTAGAAAACCAATGTATTTGGATCTTCTGTGTCAGAGAATGGCGGCCTGCCCCGCCGCCTGGCACCCATAGCGGTGAGTATGTCACGTTGTTAGGTGTCCAGTAGCACGTGGAGACTGTCGCCCCACGACTGAGCTCTGTCTATAGGTTGTGGCCAGACTATATATTCGCACACATATAGGATGGTTTGCCAGGTTAACATTCTGCTGATATTTGTAAATAAACACAGTATTTCACATTAGGCTAAGTTTGAAGATGAAAGTAAAACACCTTAATCTTAGCGGCATTAGCCCTTAGATCATCAGCTGAAACCCCGTTTTACCAAACTGAGGCCCATCATGAATCATTGACAGAAACACCAATATTGAACAATAAAACTCGCTGAGATCAGGAAGAGAGGAACCATCCTCTCCTTGGGACTAAAATTAGCTCCCATCCTCATCACATGGATGCTTCTGTTTCCTCCTCGCAGCCCGACGGCTAAAAGCCTCTCTGGTTGTGACGGCACCGCGACCCATTAGGAAGATCCAGGTCCGGTGGGGATTCAGAGTGGGTCTTTATTTACACCCAGCAGCTAGGATCTGACCTAACTGTTACCGGACAGTACCAAAGTTCTGACTTCATCAGCGGTTCCATTGCTTTACCAACATGGTCTTCCATCCCCAGCTGGAAGGTTGCTCCGACATTACATCTGGAACTTTATTTCCAGGTGAAACTTTAAAATGAGAACGTGGTGGAAAGTTCCTTTGTGTCAGTAATTCAACTTAAAAGGTGAAATATGACAGACGTCACATGCACGTATTTAAAGGTTTTGTTATAATTAGGATGATTATGGCCTAGAAGAAGAAGCGGGCTTTATGTAGCACCTCTCAAGATAATCTCGAGGTGCTTCACAAGAACAAAGTCTAGAAAAATGATTTTTAAAATATAAAAGGGCTAAATTTAAGAATTTAAACTGAAAAACAAAAAGGAGTAAGAAGAAAGTAATAAGATCCCAAGAAAGGCAGAACTGGTAGAGATGGCAGCATGGAAACTCTAACCACCATACTGGAATTAGGGATGCAACGATACCACTGTTTTCCAGACCGATACTTGGATCTGAGTACTCGCCGATGCCGATTACCAATACCGATACTTCTACCACACAAAAAATGCAATGATTTGGAACACAGATTTTATTTTTCTTCTCTGCTTTCAACAGGAAAAGACTGTGAGGTAGATAAAAAGTAGAATGGAAATCATCACAAAACTAAAATATGTGAACAGAAATGACAAGTTACAGTGAAGCCATTTTCAAGCAACTGCATTGGTATCGGTTCCTGGTATCGGTTAACTTTTACCGATACTGTTATCGGTATCGGTGCCGATACCAGTATCGTATCGGTGCATCCCTAATTGTAATTTTTCTAGTTTCACCTGTATTCGTGTTTAAACTCCAGCAGGTTTCTGGTTA